ATTACTGAAAATTTCCTCCCCACAGTGGAAATATGTAAAAGTTATATATGGTTTTTCTCTTATGTTGTATCCCCCAGGTTTTTTTTTCTTTTTTTTTTAATTTTATTTGAGCTGAATAATAAAAAAAGTGGAGACAGAGAAGGAAAGAAATGAGAATAATCAGAAGTCTACAGAACATGACTTAAGAAGTAAGATTGACATGATTTTAAGTATAGTGATCAAAATTGGACCTAATTACTCCAACTGAGAATCTTCTTGATACAAAGTAGAAAGAATACAAAATTTTCAGAATCAAACTCTTTTTATATATCCCAGTATGATGTCTACCTTTCCAGAACAGCATGGTATTGTAGTATAATCAGTTTCTGATCCAGTGAACTCCCTATGTCTTTTACTGCAGAGCTTCTGTCACCAGTCCTTCTCTAGTCTGTGCAGTTGTATGGTTGTTTCTTCTTGCTCACAGAACTTTGCATTTTCCCTACTTAAACTTCATCAGTTCTTTTAGTTTGTCCAGTTTCTCAAACTTCCTTTGACACCCGCTGTCACTTTGAGTGGCGCAGCTCTGTGTATGATGTATGTGCTGCAGTGTGATATACGATGTGAATGGATCACAGTCTGGGCACTGCTAATAGGCACTCTGTCTATCCATTATGCAGATTGTCACTGTAATTCAGTGACAACATTCAGTGCTTTTGGAACAAGGTCAAAAAGGAGCCTGATAAATTGTGCTCACTACCCATTTTCAGTTTAGCAAACACTCAAAGTAGTTACCAGGTTGAGTACAGTTTTTATGGTCAATTATTCAGCCAACTGGTCATGATTTTGCCTAGCTCACACTTCCTAGCTTTCTTCTAGGACCTTATGAAAAACATTGTCAAAAACCTTGCTAAAACCCACATATGTAACATCTACTTCTTATTCCTAATGTACAGGAGCTGTTACTATCTTACTGAAAAAGATATATTAGTTTAGCCTGGTTTTTCCCCTGCCAATTTCATGTTATATATTACTTTTTTATTGGTAGTTTGCCAGTGGAAATAGGTTGTAGTTTGTTCTTGTTTTTGTTTTTATTTTTTTTAAATAGAAATTCAATTGACTAGCATAATGCTGTAATTGTAAATGTCTCTAATAAAGAAGATTAATTAAATGTTGTTTGCAAATGCCACTAGAGAGCTCTATATTTCATGAAGACAGAAAAGTTAATTATTCTGGACAGCAGTATAACAAAACAGAGCTAAATAAAAGATCAGTATCTTTATTTTATTTCAACCTACTTTTTTTTCCCCTAATAGCTTTTAGATTCCTGTTGGAAGTCAAAAGCAGCAATTCAGGTTTCACTTTTCCAAAAACAAAGTATATCTCAATTTTAGTGTTGATAGTTACCAATGAAGAGATAGGGCAAGTATACAGGATCTGAATGAATACATAAGTTTTCTTCACAGCTGGGACACAAATTTCCAGAGATGATTTTGCTCAGTAATAATAGTAGATGAATGCTGGAAAAAAATATTAGTTGGTTCATAATTTGAACACTTTTTTTGTAGGAGACTTTCTTCTTAGCTTTCCTTTTCAGCTGTGTTCTTTATACAAGAAGGCAGAATTGGTTTCAACAATAATCTGATGAATGGGGAAACTGAGGCACTAGTTTATAAGGAAAAGGTGAAAATACACTGTATCAGCTGATGGAGCCTCCAGAGAGAGTTGTAAAATACTGGACTCTAGAATGAAGTGTAGGTATGAGCACAGTTCAAATGAATAAATATCAGCCTAATTCCTTTTTCAATGTTTGGGATATTTTGAATATTCCAGTTTCATAGACAGATAAGCATCTGTCTTTCTCCTTATCTGAAAGAAGCTTCTCTGAGACTTCAAGGCATATGAAAATGACTGTTTCAATGTGTTGGTGTACACTTTTCTCCATGAACTTACAAAAAATTATGTTATTTATTACCTTATATCCTTATGTAGGATATAAGGTCCTTATGTAGGACCTACATATCCTTATGTAGGTCCCTCTGCTATGGTGAGCAAAAGTGACACTGAACTTGCCTTCCATCCTCTTCTAGTCAGGGTACTTTTGTTCTTCTAAATCAGCCAGTGTTTTACTAAAAAGAGAAAAAGCAGTACATAATATCACTTCTAAATTTATTAGCTATTTTCTAGGTGGAGCAAAATATATCACAGCAAATTTATTTATTATTCTCAGATTAGTAATGAAATACTGTGGTTTTCTATATTCAAGTGCTATGTAAATGGACCAGATTTTTTTCCTAGACAGATTATAGCTTTACAGTTTGTATAACTACTTTAACACTTTAGGATATGTTCCACTGATATTTTAAGAATTTCTATAGTAGGTTTGTCCATTATTTTCAGGTTGAGGTCTATGGAATTCCGTTCAGACATTTTGAACAGGTTTCCTTTCTTAAGGGACAGTGAGATCTGGCACCAGTTGATATCAGATGTCTTTTTGATCTTTTCCCCCCCCCTCAGTTCCGCCTGATTTACAAGTTATTGTTAACAATTAGTCTTTTGAGTATGAGGTTCAATACTGAAAATGTTGAAAGGAGATTTGAGTTTGAAATGTCCATGCAGTTTGACCCTTCTCTGTCTTTGCTTTGATTCCTTTGATGTGGAGCAGGTGAACTGTTTCTCTTCAGTAACTATGCACTGACTGTTCAGGGCACAAGAAGTGTGTTCATGTGTGCCAGGACTGGAGTCTTCTCTTAAAGTCAACTTGAGTCATCGTTAGTGGTTTTCATGCCGTGCTACACTGAAGTCACTGCTATTGTGGCATCTTGGACATAACCGCAGCCCAGTACTGAAGTATAAAATGACCTTTTTCCACCTGAATTTAAAGAGAAAACCTTAACAAGCCATCTCTTGGCTTGTTATAGATATGGGACTAGAACAAAGGATGGGAAGGTAGTTGAAGCAGAGCATTATGTAGACAGTGGTATGTATAGTGAATGCTCAGAGATACAGTGAAGTTTCTGAGGAGAAAGTTTCTAGTGCATTCACTCTGCTGTGTACTAATAAAGTCAAAATACTTAATGGGAAAACCTTTGAATGACTGTTGTCTTAGATACAAGACAAATTGCCTTATGCAAAGTTGGTAAGAATATAAGTATTTAGGAATGTATTATCTTCTGAAATGACTTTAATATTAAATAAACTAATTTGTTTAATCTGATATAAATATATAATTTATCTCCTGTCCACCTTTATCATGCTTTACTTTGACAGGATGGAGTAAAAAGAAATACGATTTTTTTTACACACAAGAGAAATAACAGAAATAATATGCGAAGATTTGGAAAAATAGGAGATCATAAAAAGTCTTCCTTCAAAATATGTTGCATTAAAATAGAAGCAATAGCAGGGACTGGGGATTTCTATTCATTCTGGAAAAGTGATAAACATCGACAGCTGCAGGAGCAGAATTTTATATACATCAAATAACAAACAAGATGCGGCACTTAAATGTTACAAGCAAATAATTTGTATTCAGTGTTTTGATTTTTGTAGCTCTGCTTGATAATGCCAGCAGCGTTTGGTCATTTCAGCCTTTGTGTCTCTCTGGCATCACATCTGTATTGGTTTGGCACAGCCTGGCTTTAGGTAGCAGGGAGTCACAAAGATGGATCCTGTGGGAAGCTGCTGGAAGCTTCCAGCATGTCCAGCAGAGCCAATGGCTGATGGCTGTGAAGATGGACATGATGCTGGCAAAAGCAGAGCCAATGAGAGAGGCTGGTAACTCCTCTGTGATGACATTTTTAAAAAGAAAATCAAAATAAAGTTACAGGTTTTGTTTCTAGTCAGAGAAGAGGAGGAGGTGAGAATACGTGAGGGAAACAACATAGAGACACCAAAGTCAGTGGAGAAGGAGGGGAGGGGAGGAGGTGCTTCAGGAGCCAGAGCTGTGATTCCTCTGCAGGCCCTGGTGATGACCATGGTGAAGCAGCTGTGCCTCTGCAGCCCATGGGGATCCAAAGGGGATGCAGAGATTCACCTGCAGCCCATGGGGGAGTGGGTGGATGCCCGGAGGAGGCTGTGATCTAGTGGAAGACCTGGTGGAGAGGGAGGGCCCTGGCTTCCAGGCTGGAGCAGCCTGTCCTTGGAGAACTGCACCCCGTGAAGAGAGACTCACACTGCAGCAGTTTTGGGAGGACTGTGTGCCCGTGGGAAGGACTCATGTTTGCAGCAGGTGCAGAAGGCTGCTGCTCATGAGAGTGGCCCCACGATGGAGAAGTTCATGGAGAGCTGTCTCCAGTGGGAGGGACCCCATGACCTCACAGGGGAAGGACTCCTCTCACAGAGCAGCAGAAGAAAATCCCAGTGATTAACTGACCAAAACCCCCATGCCCTGTCTCCCTGCACTGTTGGTGGGAAGGAGGGAGGGGCTGGGGGAGGGAACGGTGTTTTAAGGGCTTATTTTACCTCTCATTATCCTCCTATGATCCTGTTAGTAATAAACTTCATTTTGCTACTGAAGTTGGGCCTGATTTGCCCTTGAAATATTTCTCCTGGTCCTTATTTCACTCACAACATAATTTCAAGTTCACTTCATATTTTACTACTCTCTTGACTGTTATGCAGGTTTTGCATTATCCAGAACTGGACTGCTCTTCATTATCTAAGATGGAAGAGAGCAAATCTCCCAGTGCTTGTCCTTGGGAACCTACTACCTTTGTCCAGTCTGTTCTTTTTCCTTTGGTCAGTATTTGCTTCTGCTCTGGCATTTGTTTCATTTTTCTCACTTTCAGTGGTTGTTGTGAAAAGACTGTCACCAAGAAGAAATAAATTGTTTAGTTTAAGAGTTTGATAGTCTGGCTCTAAATTTAGAATCAGTAACTGAACCAGGTACTGTGCAGTCCTGGACTAACAGCTAAGTCTAGTTCTGTTTGTGCATGTACAAGTGACACTTTAATTTTTGGTTTTTCTAGTAAGTGTTGAAAAAGGACAATATCTAACATTGCCTTTTTGTTCTTTCTTGTCAGAAAAATGATGAGAAGTTGAGTCTGCATCATAGCAGCAGTGGAGCAGCCAGTTGCAAAAGTGAATTTTCAAAAAATACTGACCTTCCAGTTGACAGTTGTCAGTCTGCACATGGAAAAGATGAGGAAAGAACATATGAAGCAGTCCTGGTAGAGGATGACTGGACTATGGAGAAAGGTAGATGTCAGCAAAAGAAGCATCAGGTGCTATCATGCTGGTCAGAGGTGGGTTAAAAATTTCTTTGTTTTCATTTGTATGTGCAGGTATTTTCTCTGAATGACAATGAAGTAGACATAGTGGACAATTCAAACAGCTCCAGTTCAAGTAATTTGGAAGAGTCTGCTGTTGGTAAGATTCTTCAAGAATGAAATGTACAAAACTTTCTAACAGTGAAGCAGTTGTTTAGTCCAATATATGAGGCTATTTCATGATTTGTCACAAGTTCACAATCTGTTGTTACCTAAGTGAAGAAAATCACTGTGCCTCTGTGACAGCCATGTCCAGTTTCATACATTTGGTACCACCAGAACTTTGTGTAGCTTGTCCCCATATTTTGCAGTAGCAACTATGAAAACTGGAATATTATTGAGCTTCTTGAGAAGGAAGGTGGTTTTTAATTTAAACATAAGATGACTAATATTGATACGAAACAGATGGAAGAGTGTGAAGAAGAAAGTTGAAAGAGGCAAGCTTTAGCTGTCTGGAAGAATTGACTGAATGGAACTGAAGGAATGTGCAGATTTAATTAGGACAGAATTATGTGGCAAAACACAGCATTAATTCTGCTTATAGTTATTTATGGTAATCAAATTGGAAAACACCAGCTGTGTTGTGTGCAGTAACAGTTTTTTGGGATTATATTTCCAATTTGAAAATTAAAAAAAAAAAATCAACTCGAAATATACTAGCACTAACCACTATGAGTTTACTTGCTAGATCGTGAGCTACCATGACCTACCTATTAAATGCAGTGAGATTCTGATTAGTGAAATGAAAGGGCATTTTATACCAGAGAAAAAAGAGGTGGGTGTTAGAGTTAAGCAAAATTTAAGGTTTCCATTAATAAAATATGGGGATGATTTAGATGTACTTTTAAAAGGTGAAGGGAATGTAGTTGTCTGAAGATTAGAAAATATTATTGCTGCAAATGTCCCAGGCTTCAAAAAACCTAGAATAGCATTATTTGCTTGTAATCCTATTTGGTAGCTGGATTTTATTTCGTATTTTGGCCCAGATACTGAAGAGCTTGGATGAGCTCTTTTTACAGAAGCCATTAGTGCAGGGCAAATAATGATGTGGTAATTCTACTTAAAATCCATTAAAATGATTTGCTAATTGTAACTGGATAGCCTGCCATTCTGAAGGCTGGAGGACCTGTGGCTAGCCAGCCCTGAGATTATTGTCAAAATTTTCTTTAAAAATAATAATTTTAGAGAACACTTTTTTTGTGGCCCCATTCTTGTGCTAAGGGAGTAACAGGAGAAGGTTGCAGGATAGAGGGAAGCTGTGAATAACTGTGGGAAGGGGCTGCATAAAATGAAGCCCTTGAGAAAAAGCAGCTTCCAGGGACAAAGTTCTGTTCTGTGTTCATACTGAAGAATAACACATTGTGTATCTCACAGGAATGTAATTCTTTGTGGGCTAGTTCAGCACTGTGCACAGAAATTTGAAGCCTTTCTGTAGTTTGTAACTCACCACACCCAAAGCATTAGTGGTAATGATTTCCTTGTAATTTTTCTTTGTTAAGATTTTGACTTTAACAAAATACAGCTTTTCCTAATATTTGAATGTTCCATGCCATATTGCTATAGTTTTAATTAAATATTTTAAGTGGAAAGATCCCCACAGTTCTTATCAGTCCCAGTAGCTTTAATCAGTATTTCTAGAAGTCATCCATTTTTCTCCTGGCATAGAGTCTAATTATTATATAGATACTTCAGGATTGCTTTTTCAGGAAAATAACTGCAGTCTTACATTCTTAGATCAGCTGTAGTTTCTACTTCATGTTGAAGTCAGTGGTATAGATCAGTGGTAATTAATGCTGGAAAATGTTTCTACTTTTCAGGGGTAAAAAAAAGGTAACTTAAAAAAATATATAAATTCAGGATAATTGGGTATTGCTTGAGAAATGTTCCATTCATTAATAATAAGTGGGTAACAGAGTTTGAATTATCAGCCATGGTTTTGTCAAGCATGTCAGCATTACAGGGGAAAATGTGGCCAACTTTGATCTAGCTAAATAGGAAATTTCTAAAATGAAGATGAGAGTTTTAATTTCAGGTATATTGATGAGGATCGTGAAAGGATTTGTCTAATTGTGCTGTCATCACATCATTCTCAGAGAAAACGTGATCATTCTAATTTGAAACGAGGGTGGTATTTTGCAAAAAGGTGTGATATGCTGAGCTGTTCAGTAGCACAGACACTGGTATGGATTTGTCAGTAATAGGGGGAAGCTTTTTTTATAGTCCCATATTGTCATAATATTTTTAATGACTTTGCATACTCAGTGTTTTTCAATTATGCTTTAAAAAAAGAATTATTCTTCTTAGTACAGAATGTATAGACAATGTATTTCTACAAGACCAGCTCCTTTAACAAGATTGCCAAGTGCAGGGTGTGTAGATTCTGGAATAGTTGCTCCTGGTACTTGAAATGATTAATCCTACAGGAACAAGATTCTGCACATTTCAGAAGCATAGAGGCAGCAGTGACAGATGCATTTTTCTTTTCCTGAAGTAATTATAATTTCAAATTATGAAGATTGACAGAGGATAGGGACATACTGAGTCAAAAAGCTGTGAAGAATGATGGGATGGTAACAGTTTATTAGTTGCACTTTCTTTCTTAGTTGAAAATTACAAGGTTCCCAACTTTACCTTAGCTTAGTCATATTAAACGTTTTTTTGCATTTGGTTTACAGTGTAAACATACCTTTGCTTCTGTTGGTAAAACCAAATAGCAGGAAAATATGTGATATGTATTAATGCATAGTAGTCCAGTAGAGCCAGCGTGTCAGTTGGGTGAGAGTTGAAAAATTTACTTTTTGTCTGGGAATGCTCTTTTGGACAATATTTTTTGTTTCTCTTAATTATGTTCATTTTCATCACAACCAGGACAGTGTCCTATATACATTAAACAACAATTCTGTGTAAAACCTGCTATTAGAAAACCCTGGTCTAAGGCTTTATGTACTCCTAACCTTCCTCACAATATAGAGGCAGCATGCAATAGATTCTTTTCAGAATTGCTCAGCCTTTTCAAGAGATTAGGAAGTCTCAAAACACAGTCCTGTTGTACAGCTGTATCTTGTTTAAAAGTTTTTCTCTTACCTCATAATTTCATTTATGCTTCCACTATTTGGAGGAATCCCTGCACTTTTATATCTTGTGACCAATAAGCAAAGACACTGATATTCAGGATTCCTTTCCTGTAATAGGATTAAAAGCTACCATGTAATGAAGATATCACAGATCTACCTGAACAATATTCTAGTGATGTAACTCTAAAAGGGTCTCCTATATCCTTCTTTGAGAAATGCAACTGCTTTACACATTGCCAGGACTTGAGTATTGTATCCAGTATCCAGTTGAATAATTGAGGATTTCTAGAACTAGGATACTCTCAAATAGGAACTCTGTGTGTTTTATGTAGCAAGTGATTTGGCTCATCACTTAGGTCATGAGTTTAGGTCATCACTCCAAATTTAACTACTTTTGAGGATAACAACAAACACATTATGAAAGAAGTCCCCATTCACTAATATAATTTGTTTTCTGGAGCCTGTGATTTGGGCTACATTGCAGGCAGTTACCTTATATCTTAAAAATTCTGTGCTCACAAAGATGAGCCTTTTTTTTTTAAAATTCAGACCAGTTGTATTTAATGGATTTGGTGACTTGACAAGACATTTCTTCTTTAAATAAGATGACTAGATAGTAAGTTTTGGAATAAGATTGTCTGACATCTGCTATATATGGTTTTCTGGTTTGTGAGGATAAAGTTTAGGGATTTTCTTGAAAATTATTATTGCACCAAGAAATCTATCATTTGAGCAATGGGTGTCTGTGAAGAACTTGGGAGACCTTAGTGTTTTGTAGGCTTGTTTTTCATTATTTGTCTAAGATTTAGATTTCTCTTGAGAACTGAGACTAATGGGATTTTGTTGAAGACATCAGCCAAGACCTGGTTTTCCTATATGATGCTTGAGTTAAGTTTGAAGTATGTTTATGTCAACTTCTGTTGCTGTTCATGGAATCACTGCTAGCAAGAAAAAAACTTAGTTATTTGCTCTGCAACACAGCTTAATTAACCTGGTTGGGATTGCCCATTCCTGTGTATAGTGATTTGAAGGGCAATTTACTAAGAGTATTTTGAATGAATAAAGGTAATTTCACCTTACTCCTGAAAAGATCATTGAGCTGCCATTCAAAAACCACTCCCTTTGCTGCCACTTCTTTCAAGGAGATGTACTGAAGGTCTCTGCTAATACAAAATTTTAATCCAATTTTCCTGCCAGTCTGATCAAACTTGGAAAGGTTTTCAGAGGTTTTGTTTTTTAGATACCATTGAAGTGAAAGTTAAAACCAAAGCAAAAGTTACCATCTTCTCAGGTTTTTCTGATCTCATATCATGTTACCAGCTCTTCCCTTGCAACTGCCTGTTTAGGTGCCTGCAAGAGCAGAACACGAAACTTCATATTAAAATGTATTTGTATGATTTTTACTGATGTTGATACATGTTAAGAAGTTAAAGTCTTAGAAGTTGCTCTAATTACATCAGCTGCTAAAGACCAAAGTAGCAGTCAGAGAAATTATTTATGCCTCATTTAATACCTTTTTTAATGTCCTCAAGGAATCTGCATAGAGCTATTCAGAACAGGGAGGCTGATGAGTATTAAAAGCTTTGGCTTTTGTGTGTCTTTCACATTCTAAGAAGAATGGGCACAAAACAGGAAAGAGATGGAGGGTTTGTATTTCATTTTCCTTGAGGTTGTCTTGAACTGAAAAATGCCCTCTTGCAAGGCATTTGAACAGAACATATTGCCTTGCTCTTCCTGTCCATGTCAAAGGAGTAGCCATGGTAAAAGGAAATATGGCCCGGGAAACCCTGAGCTGAACAGCAGGATACACTGTGTGCTCCATGACTTACATGAGTCACCTTGCTGCACATCTGTGCTGTTTCTTACTCCCTGACTGGCTTTGTATGATTAGCATAACTCATACACAGAAGACCAGGGATTATGAATAAAGTCATTTGTGTACCTTGAATGTGTGGGTACGCATGTGAGTGTGTTTATTACAATGATTTTTACATGTTTGAGTCTCCTTGTGTTTAGTTATTAAGTAAATTATTTTCCTGTGTTTTCATACTTAGTAACATAATGAGATTCCTCTCTCAGGTCTAGCTGCTCAGTAGGTCTCTAGCACAATAATAAGCAATAAATATAGGCCTGAGGGGTGTTTGCTATTGTTTAGTGATGTTCATCATCATCTTTGGGGTTTTGTTTTTTAGCATTAATAAGTATTTTCCTAACTTTAGCATATGAATCAGAAAATATTGCACCTCTGCTGTGTACAGTCAGTGGTGATACAGACTCTTTGGTGTGAAATATCATGCACTTGTAAATACACTCATATGATGGCAGATTAGCAAGTCAGATGTGGTGAGTCATCAATCTGATCAAACAAATTTGGATATGAACCCTCTACTGATAAGAGACCCATTATTTGAAACAGCCAAAGGGTGAAATATTTCAAACCCAATTTTGTATATGAATACTTGAAAAGGGGGTTGTTTTTTATAAAATTCTAGCAAACATCTGTGTTCACTCTTAGCTTTCAAGCCAAGTGGTTTTAGTTACAGATTTTCTTGCACGTATTCACACAATGTATTATGGTATTTGTTGTGACAGAGAGTCTGAGGTTGCAACTCAAAATCCCTACCCCAAGCAACATGACTCACATTCACTCAGAGTTTCTACTTTTGTATTTGTGTTATTTTGTCTGTGTCCTAAGCAGGTAAAATATCTGTTCCTTGAATAGGCACAATAATATTTTTCATTTCCTTCACTTTCTAGGCTGTGGGCATTCTCTTTTTCTATTTTTCTGTCTCATTAACAAAGTTAATTGAAGAACTTCTGCTTCTATGAGGGCCTAGTTTGTTTGCTCTTATGTAATTTAGCTGCTCTTATCAAATAGTCTTTTGTGCTAACTAACACAGAATTTTGGTGTCTGTTTTGCTAAGCAAAGTATCAGCAAAGATTAAAATGTTGTTTCTTTCTTGTTTCTTTCTCTTTCATTCTCTCTCTGTCTCTGTGTCTCCTTTTTAGGGAGACAGATTTGGCCTAAAGATGTATAATTTCTTTTGGTTTTAAAGTGAATTCAGTTTGACAGATGAAAGCCTCCTTCAGAATTTTTTTAAATTTAGAGGATCTCAGAAAAGTAGGAAAATATTTCAGAGTCCAACACAAAAGTACGTTTGAACATGAAAAGATCTAAGATTCTCAAAAATATGTTTGCTCTACAGTTGCTCAAGAGCTAATATAACTGCTATAACAAGACCAACAATGGGAAAACTAGTTTAAGTTTGACATAAAATCTTTTTTTTTTCTTATCTGCTGTTTGAGTGATTAGATGCCTCTGTTCTTGTTTAGAGATAATGTTTATGATGTTACTAGTGTGGGAAAAAAATCTCATGTAGACAAAGATGCAGGCCTCGTATTAAAATACATTAATTGTATGTGAAAATTGTAAGAATGTCCTAATCTTGCTACTCACACTCTCATTTAGCAGAATTATCTTTTCAGTAAACGTACACTCAATCAAAATGAGATACCAGGGTGGTCTCAAATTACCATCCAAATTACCATCAAAAGAATGGTTTTACAGGAATGATTTAAGATAAATGATTAAGACTAATATTTGCTTTAAGACAATGCTTTCCAAGTGCATGAATAATAGATGTCATCAAACATTAGCTTTCCTTCTACACATTTTTTGGCAGTATGCAATAAATGATTTAAATGTTTACGTTCAGTTTCATTGTTGATTAGATGTTGGCCCAATAACTGGTCATGCTGCTGTCTTCAAGCCCTTGACTTCAGTAGGATTATTTTAAAAATAAGGTATTGCATGTGTTATTGCATATAGAAAGCCCCCAAATGGAATGGTGGCAGTAAATATCTGGTGAACCTCTAAGAACATGGGCAAATATTCTATCTCCATATCCAGACTAGAGACAATGTTGTGACTATAGTGGTAGCAGTACCTGTAACAATTTAATGCAAATCCTTATGCATATTCTGTGGACATCTAGTCAGCCTGTGTTGTTACTTTCTGTAACAATTTTCTGACATAATTTATTAAAATACTCTGTCAGGCTGAGATTTTTGTTATGATCCAAGCAAATTTTTGATACATCAAACAGCAACTTAATAGTCAAATGGGGGTTTGGAGTTTGTTTCATGCTGATTTTTAGAAGTTATTTTGACACCATGTCTGGGAATAGAAGATACTAACATACATGTTGTACATTTCTTTTAAACAGAAAATAATATTTATGTGTTTGTTTCAGGTATAATTAAACAAAGTTTTAGTGTTTCTGAAAGACAGGCTCAGATAAGGTATGTGTAATTTATTATTTAAATATAATTGATCATTGTTGCTATCAGTTCCAGATGGTTGTTTCACAGTGGAACAGTTCCTCAAGTTCCTTGTGAAACATGTCCTTGGTTCCTTTACAACTTCATTTTCCCTCAGTCTAGGACACCAATTCTGCTTGAGGATATGTTAGACGGTGTTTGCACACAAAAACTTTTCATAATAGATAGTTTTAACTATGGACCTTGCTATTGAAACTTAAACTGACATCAGGTGATTAGCCAAATTCCGGTTTTATGTTTTTAAGCAGATGCTTTTCCGTAGAAAATGGTGCTTGTGTATTTGATAGTTTAGATTATGTAGTAGAGTTTAGAGATAGTTTAGAGTATGTAGCTGTAGTAGTCTGGAGTAGTATCTTGTCCCTTTGAAATCCTCTGGACTTTCTGTATAAGCATAAACACCCATTTATTGCATTTTGGAGGCCTCATTTCTTCAAAAAGGAAACAAACAGAAGCAGAATACGTCATGTCATCCCTCTTCTAAAGATCTTCTTTTTCTTCTGTTTCTTCAGTAATACATCAAACACATTCTTGACCATTATTTTTCTGATCACTTTGGCACCACCCTTATTCAGAAATGCTGTCAATTGTTTCTTCATTTCTGCTTTTCTTCTATATCTGGAAAAAACCTCTCAAAATCACTCCTGGCAGCATCTGTCTCCCAAACATTTTTTTCATTTTACCTTTGACTTAGCTAGGTAAGTATTTATAATGATTGCATTGATTCTTTTGCTGTGTTTCTCCACAGACCCTGTTTGAGTCAAGTGCAATATTTTATTTTTGCTTTCAGAATGGTTCTTGGCATAACACCCATCCAGTCTGCTATTTATCCCTTCCTAACCTTACATCTTCTGCAGTCCTGTTACAGCGTCCCCATGCTTGAGCGTTGAAGAAAGCACATTTTCTTTCTCTTTGTAGAAACTCATTACTATACAAATCTCTGCCCCTCACATAATCATCAGCAAAACTATTTCCTTGTCTTGATTTGTAACTACTCCTTGAAACAGTGGTTTTCCCTACTGCCACAAATATAGATAAAAATTCGGGCTATCACGGCTGCCATCCATCAGGACGTCATGTTTGTTCTTTCGGTTCCCTGGTGTCTGTGCCCATTTGTTATTGCTTATCTCAGCTAGTGAGATCTGCAGGCTGGGAAAGTATTTGTCTAGAGTTTAGAGAAGGATCTAGCATTCATACATGTAGACCTGTATTTCTGACTTTGAGATATTGCTTTCCTGGTGATGTAATACCAATTTTTTCCCCATTTTACTAGTACTGACCAAGGCAAGAAATTTTTATTGAGTAGAAGTCATTCTATTTTGGGCATGCAGAGTAAACCAGTTTTTAAAAATGGACAGTTGTAAGCTAGTGAATTTGAACAGATTTCCTTTAGGTGAAACATGAGAAGGAGTCAAGGAATACTGCTGTTTTCTGTACAATCATTGATGCCAAACACAATTAAAATTTTTTTCTTTTTTTAAAAAAATGATAGATTATGTTGACAGTTCTGGATCAAGACTGCAATCAGGTAATCTTGTGCTCACAAAAAATTCAAACTTTAACTTACATTAAACCTAATGATTTTCAAGTTTTTGAACATTATTACATTATTCTCCCATTGCATATAGAATGTTTCCTCTTTTATTTCTTCCTCTTTATTGCCTATTGATTTGCTTTTAAGAGTACTTTCACTCACCCACAGGCCCCACACTAAGAAAGTCATGTGTTTGTTCATGATGAGATGGCAATTTCATAGTCTACCAGTTGTAGCTCTTTACAATGTGAAACATCATGGTTTTATTTATAATTGTATTTTTAAATGTTAGAAAAAGAGATAATTACATTTTACATACAAATATGTTATCTGAAATATCATTAAGGTACTTCTTAAGAGTATGAATTCCAATAGTGAATCAGTAAGATCTCATATTAATTGTCATTATCTCAGCTAAACTTCTGCAGGATGAAATGGGAAATTCTCCTGTAAAATGAATATTTCATACAGCCCTTGCAAATTATCATGTATTTATGCATCATGATTGATGAAACAAATTTTCCATTTGAAGTACTTTTACTGAGAAACTTCACACCCTGTAAGTGGCTAAGCTGTGATTTCAGAATGCATATTGTCTGAGTTAAATAATTTTTAAAATAAAATTATTTTGATCAGTTAGGATATTGATCTTCACAAAAAAGTGCTTGTTGTCTGTACTAAGTTCTATTTTACAGCTTTTAATGTAAAAACTGTATTAAGAATTTTAATTATGCAGTACAAATCCAAATTTGATGTCAACCTTCTGTAGTTTCAGTGCTGTTTTCTAAAGGGTGCTATGTAATAACAATTCAGTTTAAACATAATGTCTGTGTGCTATAATGACCTACAGAAAAATACTTTAGCCTTTGTTGATATTTTCAGTTCTGTGAGTAAATTGAGTAAATCCGTTATCTTTTGTCAGTGATGTTTTCCTTTTGGATAAAAGTCTTAAAAGCTTTGGTCAAGTCTTCAGCAGCCTATTCACACATGTACCCTCATCTTCCAAATAATGCTTCTTAATTTAAAAAAAAACCAACAAAATCAAACAAACAAGGAACTTGGAGTGGTCTGGTGTGTGGACTTCATGGGAACTCCTAAAGTCTTTGAAGCACACAGATACTACAAATAGACATTAAATCTGGTCCTCATAGACTTTTAAGTCAAATTGTTGCTGTCATCCTAGAAAAGAGAAAGAGCTGAATAACAGAGAAATCCAATATCCATAAGCTGAATAACAGAGAAATCCAAATTATGTCCTTCTTGGCCTTTGCTGTTTGCTGTTATCATTCCAAATATATTTCTATTCAGAAAAAAAAAAAAATTAAGACCTACAAAAGAAAAGTCCCTGATTTATTTACTTTTGGTTTATAATACAAGCCATTGACAGGAAAAGAGGAGACAAATACCACAGAAGAGGGAGCAGTGAAAAAGGGAACATGTCAAAGGGGTAAGGGTTTTGTGAGCGTCCTTAACATAACTGAAGATTTTAAGGCTATAATGGCAAGACCACACTGGATTCTTTTGGGCCTTGATTATAACAGTATTGAAACAGTTGGTAGAGAGGTGAAAATGAAGCAGAAAAACTGAATCAAAATTGTTCTTCACGCGGCATGTATTTTTAGATTATTATAGCATGGCTTCCACTGTCACCTTGATCAGAACCAATGTAAGTAAATTCTTCTTTAAGTGACTCAGAGGAAACGCAAAGCTTCTTTTTGTCTTACTGACTATTAAGAGAAGACCTAGGGAAAATATGTCAAACTGAATTTCACTTGGCTTTCTCAAGACATTTGCCAAGTCAGTGCAACAAAAAAACCCATAGATATCAATGATGTTGTCTTCCTGAGCCTACTAGAAATGTGTATCCCTGTGGTAGAGAAGGATGTTTATCTGTATTGCTTTATTTCTGTGAGAGCATAGTTCAGATCTGGATGGTCTTTAGACACTAATATTTGTGAATATCTTTCTTCTTATTGAAGTAGCCAGCACAGAAATTCTTCAGCAAAAAAGTGGTAGTAGTTCTGTTGTGGACTAGTTAATGTTGGTATTTGGATTTCATCACCCTCTCAGTAGAATTTTTAATCTTGACATAAGATCACATTGGGAAAAAAAAGAAAACTTTCTGTGGTTGTAAATTTATACATCAGACTTGATGATCCTCAGGGTGTTTCTGTGAGAGTAAATGTTAGAATATCTAAATTAGTCTCTGAAGTGTGGTTTAGAGAAAATTGTTTTTAGGAGAGGTCCAGTGCTGCTGGCTCAAGTTCAATACTTTGGCCAAAGCTCTTTGCTTAGCTCCCTGGTCTAATGGTCAACTTGGAAAGATTATTTTGTGAACTAATATTCTTCTGTGATCCACTATGTGTTTTATAGTGGAAGCCTGCTGATAAACTTTTATTGAATGTCTGGGCCTGACAATGTGCATGACTTCAATACACAAGATTAAAAATCCTAAACAATAGATTTACCTCATTGAAATAATCCACGTCAGACATATTATTATAATGCTTAGGGTAGAATGAAAAGAAATTCAATAACCTCAAAATATAGGAAAAAATATATTTTGTTAGTCTATGTAAAAAATCAGTTAAGAAAATTATGCTTGTCATATATTTATCCTTTTGAATAAACGTGACAAAATTTTAACAGTTGTTGAGGTACTTTAATACTGCTTCTGTCATGGAGTAATTTGGTGATTCAGAGAAAGGGATTTTCTTTTGAAACACATTGTCACTTATATTGTCTAAATTTTTAACATTTTAGATTATCCTTTTTTTGTTCCCAGAATTATTGGAAAAACAAGTCAAACATTTCAACTTGGTATTTACAGCTGTGAGTTTTAAACATTGTATGCTATTCATGTGCAAAGGCAACAAAATGAGCTGCCCTCCTGATTTTTCTCTTGCCATCTACAGCATTGGCAGGAATTGATGTATCACAAGGAAAGGTGCATCAGATCAGTGACCCTGTTCAGCAGATTCTTTTTCAGCTGCACAAAATTATCTTCAGCACTAAAGTATGCATTACTGTTGCTTCTGACATTCTGTACTTTTTAGTCATTTGCTGTTGCCAAAATGATGTTACTGCAAAGTGCTGCTAATTTAGTTACTGTTCTTTAAAAACAACAGAACTTGACATTTTTGCAGATGGCAGGATGCTTTAAAAATATATCATTAAAATAAAGACTAACTTTGAATATTAGTATGTGGAGAATGGCAATAATTGAGTCATATAAAAAAAAAGCTGTAGCTCACCTCAGAAAAATGGATTGTACAGTAAAGTATTTTTACAACATTCTGTCATACCAGCAGTATGACTGCTTAAGGTGACAATATCATATACTGACACGGAGAGTTAATAAAATGCTTTCTTCTGTAGTAATAGTTTTGATTATTTTAAGTTGTATTTTAATCATCAGTACATAGTAATGCTCTCTTGGGAGTTTTAGTGCAATAGATTAAATCCTGAACATGTTAACTTTTTGAAATGTCAGATATTTTTCAAATTTAAGACTTATTTTAAAATTAAGTTCAACTGTTTCACAGTGAGAGGGAGTTGAAATTATTTCATTTTGATTCCAAAACCAAAATGTAGCAGAGCTGATACAAAATCTGCCTTGAGTTCTCACATAAAAAATGTGATTGGAACCTCTTTATTCTGCAGAAAGATGGCTACCATGCAGCTATTTGAAACATTTGCTATTATTAGAGAAACAGCTTTTTATTTTCCAAAATGAAGTTTACATTTGGGACGTGGTGTTTATCACCTCAGGGCTTTTGAGATTTATCAGCCAAATTTGTTTGGTTTTGTTTAGAACAGAATAACATAACAGAACTTGAGTGTGCTTTACATGTCTCTCTTCTGTTTTCTTTTTTTTTCTTTTTATTGTCAAGCTTATCAAGACATGTAATACAAGAATTAAATTATCAGAGACAAAAGAAACAAACATTATTTAAAACAATTAGAAATTATATCTTTCTATCAAGAGAAATGAGGCAGTTCAGTTTTTACATCATATTTTAGGAGCATGTCCAAGGTATTCATTAGTTCTATCCTATCCTTCCTGTTGAAGGAGGTTTTCTCAAGTGGCTTACTACTTAATATGAGTTATTGTAATGTGGATGCTCAAGAACTGAGAACTAACAGCAGCTCAAAAACTGGCTCAGAATTGACCACTGAAGCAGTAGCAACAGCTTTTCTCTGATTTCAGAGATACCAGAAGCCAGACCTGTACTTGTTTACTATGTTCCACTGCCTCCCTTGCACTTGTTTATATTTTTACAAATCTGAGGTTGAGTATTTTTTATAATACACAGCTGTTTTCTCAAACTGTTACATATTCCAGTTGACAGTTCTAAACTGAAGTTTGCAAGGAAGAGTTCTTGCCTGTTAGTTCTTGGCTGCCAGCAGCCTTCCCTGTTTCCATGGGAACAAGAATCAGAGTGATCTCTGGAAAACAATGTAAGAGAAAGCTTTTTAAAAAGCATTATGTAAATCCTTGGCTTTTTTTTTTTAAACTGATCTGACAACTGATTTGATTAAAACAAAAGCTAAAATTGAACACTAGTGCCTGAGGCAACTCCAAGGTTCTCAAGCATTGGACTTGTTCTTTACCATTTCTGCTTTAGAATATCCCAGTATTCCCATGGTACATTAACTACACACTGCAGTGGTATGTAATCCATAGAACAGGTTGTCAGCCTTTCCTAGGGCATCATTTTTTTACTCTCTCATAGGCTAAGGAACATTCAACTTCTGACTTAAAGCATATGTATAAGGCCTTATCTGCATGAGAAAAGAGTAGTGTCTGTCTGTGAGAAAAAAAAAAATCTCTGCATGCCAGCAGCTGTCTGGAGAAGTCTTTTGTGCTTAGCATGTGACATTGATCCCTGGTTTGTTAGAGAAAATCAGGACTCCTGTGAGGCCAATAAAACCATTCTGGATTTATAGCTGTCTAAGAGCAGTAATTTGTTCCAGTGGGATAAATGTCTCTATAATGTCTGCTATGGCAGTGTTTGAATGTGAATCATTAGGGGTCAACCCCTCCCTAAGCAGTCAAAAAGCTTCCTCAATTCAGTTGAGTGGTACTTCATGAATTTACATCAATGAAATTATTATAAAGTGTGTATGAAATGGGAGAAAATCATAGTTTTTCAAACAGTGTCTGCAGGTATAAACAACTATGCAGAAGCAACAGAGAAGATTAACTCAAAAGGGTAGTAACAGACCAAAGAATTGTTGTCATACTGGGTTGATGTCATTGCAGTTACCAACAGCTGAAACTGTACATTTGCTGTTGGAACATAAAAATTATTTTAAAGGAAAAAATATTTTAAAGTCTTTATTGAAGACTTTAAGTACATTCTTTGTGGGGGTTTTGTTTGGGTTTTTGTTGTTTTTCTAAATATAGGTGAAAGATATGTTCTTTTTCAACCAAAAGGATACAGGAAGAAAAAGTATATAAAACCAGTTATGCTTTATAAACAAGTGAAAGGTATATTACCCCCCTCAGGAAGCTTAGAGCAAAAGGGGTGCTCTGAATTGTATTAAGACCCTTGAGGACATTAAAATAGGCCATTGAAGTCATTCTATGCACATTCAAGGAAGGTCTAAGCTTCTTCATTAATTTCAGATGGAGAGATTCATTATAGCCAACATGAAATCTAAGGCAATGTTCTATGTGCTTCATCTGTAGAAAAATGTCCCAAATACTGACACTTGTATCAGGGAGGCAAATCTGGTATTACCAGTGTTAGGCTAATAATGATGGTTACCTTCAAGACTATAGGAACTGAGTTATGTGGTAAACTAAGCCTAACAGAATGGACAAACAAAGGAGCCTTATTATATTATGTCACTAAATCAAGTCTTATGCTGTTGTTTATCACCATGTCATTAGAGATTGATGTTTCTTTTTGCCAGGTAGCTACATTTCTCAGTAATGGCACTTCTGAATGGGTCCTTTTCATGGCAGGTGTAACTGAATGGTGAAAGTGCATTTCTTTGTCTCATGTAGCTTCCTCCAGCTTTGCAGTGCAACTTGGAAAGGAGAGTTGTTGAGAGATTCAAGAAATCCCTCTTCAGTCAGAAGAGCAATCCTTGTAAACTGGAAACAGAAATCAAAAAGGTGTGGTACACCATTTACTACTTGTGGTCAAGTTTGTCTCTCTTTCCATTCAATCATGCTATTGAAATTAGTATCACAAAAATGTAAGTGTAAGAGTCCATTTGCAAAAGGAAATATTTTAAATACTCTCCAGCTATCCTATATTTGGAAAATATGGAGTCTCCTTAAGTAAGAAGTTTTTGCAGGATGGTTTCAGGTTTGTATCTTGTCATTAGAACTCTTTCTGTAAATGGAAAGGACCTGCTAGCTCCTAAGACACAAAACCAGATTTCATCTCATCAGAGCTCCAAAAGGCAAGAGGAAGGGTAACATAACTAGAGATTATATAAGCTCTTAATTTATGCAAGCTCCGCTTGATTTGTTAATAGTTCCCTAATATTTTTCATATTTTGGACTGTATTCCTACTTAAACCATTAATCTTAAGAGAGCAGTTTCCCAGAGTACCTTAAATATAACATACCTTGTCTTGCTGTTGCACAGTGTGTCAGCAGCATTTTAGTGTCATCAGTTTAAAAGTACTGCAGATTTGTAAGAATAGCCTGACTGGAAAAGCATTCTTGCTTTTTTTCCAGTGATATGCTGGATGCTTTCCAACAGAGAAAGATCTAATGACTAATATCAGAATTTCTAAATGTTCCTTCAGAATCTCCTGAGAGGACTGAAATCAGCAAAGGATTTGAACTTTCTTCCTTGGCATCTGTGTACTGTGGGATACTGAAGCTAAGATATTTCATTTATGAATTGATGATAAAGTAGTTATTAGATTCATTATTGTACCTAAAATTTGATTACTAAGGTGACTTATTATCATTCACATAGTTCTCCCTCTGCAACTTAATTTGATTATCACCTACTTCCACTGAATTATGGAATCTTCTGTGTAATTGTTTGCTGTGAAACAGACTGATCCCAAATTCTGGATCCTTCTTTTGTAATAATTAATCTGAGGTGCTAAAACTTCCTGGAGGGTGGCACATTGGTAGTACATTAGATGCTTCTAAGGATGCTTCTAAAGATGCATAAGGATGCTTCTTTCTGAGCTATTAGTTTCATGCTGTCCTGTTAAGTTGGAATTTGTGTTAAACACTCCTGTATTTCAGCCATAACATTAAATCTAAGAAATACCTGCTCATTGTGTATTGAGTTGATGTTTTCAGAAACAAATCCCCAAAAATATGGTAAGAAAAAGGAAGTGTTTATTATAAAATTAACTTAATTTTCAGGTGTTCAGAAAGGAAGGAAATTATTTGTAAATGTAAAATTGTGTTAGCTTCAAAACTATTTGACTTAAACCTGTAGAAAAGGAAATAAATACTTTATTTAAAAAGTAAATGGTAGTAAATTGAAAATGCTTGAAACATTGAATAAAATTCTGGGCATTCTACCTTGAAGGAAATAACATTTGGATATCATTTGGAGGTAATGGGAGGAACCTAAATAGAGAAAAGAATGATGTTGAATTCTTACAGCAAATGTTGTTACGAGGTTTTACAATTTCTGGAAATAAAATTTTAAAATAATGGGGTTTTAATTGCATCACGTTAGAAAACCTAATAAGAATTACAGACAAAAAGATTCCTCCACTAATCAGTGGTGGGGTAAAGGTCTTCCAACAACAGAGATTCTTCTGTTTCTATAACTGTAAAAGTTATCATGCTGCAGAAATGCGTAACTGAGATTTCTCTCCCATACACAAAGGTGGTCCTGTTAGAGTTGTTACCTTGTTACCTGTAGATATTTTCAAAACTAGATGCTTTTAAGTTTAATGTCAGTATCATTGCTCATATAATCAAGTAGCTGAACTGACTTTCAGATTTCAAAAGTGCTGGAATTCCTCTAATGGGAATTAAACCACTTGAATATCAGCTAACAATTTCACTTGAAGCCACAGTTTTAAAAACCAGAGTCATAAGCTGCTTCCCTCATAGGTTCAAGAGAACACACTTTCCTTTTATCTTCACACAAATGTGTAGTTTGTGACATTTTTTCAGATAATCTGAAAAATTCAGTGTTTTATACTAAGTGCAGCTTGCAATGTTCAGTGTTTCTGGAGAGAAAAAGGTAGAATGTTCATAATCACGTTCACCACTTTTCATTAATCTCAAAAGTGCTGAAATTTCTTTTGACTTCTGATTGCACTGGGAAACATAAGTGTAAACTGCCTCCCAGAAGTCTGAAGTTTTGGCAAATGAGAAGGATGTACTTTTCAGGTGTCTTTACTTTTTTGGTCTCTTTTCTTTTTCCCTAGATGCTGCTGAATTGATTGAAACCAATATCTTCACAACAGATTGGCATGGGGTACATCTTTCTTCAGGTGGAAATATGTTGCTTCCAGATGGTAGAAAAGGTAAACAAAGCATCATAATCTTCTGTAGTGGCATGTATTTTTCTAATAAAATGTATGGTATCAAAGCAGAAGGAATTGCTACTCTAAGATCAGTCTTTAAAGACAATAAAGTTATGTTGACCATACTGATTTTCTAGTGGGGGTTGTTTGCTTTTAGTTTGGGGTTCTTGGTTGGTTGGGTTTTGTTCTGTTCAATTCCTGGTAAGATATACAGTTCAGCACTGCTGGAACTTTCTAATGATTGAAGAGAGTGCACTTTGAAATTATAAAGAAATATCACCGATAAAAATAGGTCATGATTCATCCATGAAAATTAATAGAAACGTTTGTAACTGAAAATGTCATACTAAGGACTTACCTGCCCTTGTGTATGATTTTTAAATCAACTATGTTTAAGCCCTTATGTTGTTCTTTTGTCATGTTTGAAACAGTTGTAATTGGTTGATTTAATTACATAGCTAGATCAAACCATACAAACTTGAGGAGGGAAAAATACACACATACATACATACATATATATACATATACATACTTTAGAAAATATATCTGTATGTGTTTAAATTCTGCTTTGGACTAGTGATTCTCAGCTAGACAAATCATAAACACCATGGAAAATCAAACCTGCCAGCTGTGGTGTCACCCAGGGTGGGGAACTACAATTCCTGGTTCAGAGACGTTTTTCATCATGTGTTTTTTTGTGCAATGGACATAAGGGAAATGTGCTGCCTGTTATTTTGGTAATTGTGCCGTTTGCATTCTTCTAACTACAGAAAAAACTGTGTTGCAATCCATGGACTAGAGGATACAGTAACATTAAAATCTGTGGTGCCAGAAGGAAGAGTGAGAAACTCTAGTTTTGATGGTCTTTGTGTTGAAAATAGCCTGTCTGTTCCACAGCTTACTGCGAAAACCAGAATTAATACTAGATGTCAAGGGTGACATTGGAGTAGGAAATGAGTCCCTAACAATCACTTTAAATATGAGCATTATTTTGTTCCTGGAGACAATAATGCAATTTTTTGAGGTGCTCATTATCTGTAATTTTTGAATCTCTTAACCTGCAGACAATACTTTTGTCCTCACAAATTACTGCTGTCTGTGTGCCCTTTCCACCATAAATTTCCACTGTACATGGGAAAAAAATAAGAAAATTGCATTTCTGAGTTCTGTTACATTAAGTAAGTCTTTAAATTATTTTTCATTGGTTAGAATATTTCCATAACGTGTGTGCGCCAAATGTTCCTATCATGCCATAAAATGACCTCACTTTTTCAGGGGTCATTGTGCTCAGTGAGAGTTACTGATCATGAAGCATCTGGCTTGTCATTGTGTTTGAAGTGGAATTGCTAAGAAACTGATAAGGGAGCACAGATTCCAAATTCAGTAGTATGACATTACTTGCCTTTTACTTGAAGGCATTCTTGGCACTTCTGGCATGGCAGAAGGGATGACATATGAGCAGTTGCAGGTAAACTGTATATTTACCTATATGTATTCATTTATTACTCTTAATGAACATAATTCACTGAAATTAAGTTCTTTTGTGTTGTACACTCTAATTGAAGAGGTTCTAGAGGAAAGTGGTTATTACAGTTTCCCTTCTTACAGGTCAGTCTAGTCAATTTAAAAAGAAAAGGTTAATTATGAAGTGCTAAACCCAAATGTATCATCTTCCTGTTTATGTGACTGCAATTCCCTTTAAACTTGGTGCAGTATGTGGTTTATTATAATACATGAATGCATGGACTGGAAGAAATGTATGTGGGATATATTAGTTAATCTAAGCAGCTTTTTTTGGCCACATCTGTTTTCTTCATTCAGATGAAAGAGTTGTACAAGTCTGGCAGCAATTTCCTCACATTTTTTCCCACATAAACTCACATCTGAACAAAAGGTTAATTACATAGAAGAATATTTTATTTTAACACTCTGCCATTACAGGGTTTAAAGGACAAAGCTGATATCTTTAGCAAAATATTGGAGTACAGCGCAAAAGCCAGTATAAGTGTTTACTAGCACAAAAGTGCAGGGGATAAAAACAAATGTGGTGGTCTTTGAAACTAGGCAAATGCTTTGTCCTCAAGATGGTATATCTTTTCCTGCAGGAAAATTTTGACACAAGAAATAAAATATATTAACTATATAATTTTTCATGTTTTTCACCTGATATCCTATTATTTGTCATCTCAAATATTCTTTAATGCAAAAGAAACATTAACTACTTCAATTAAGTAAGTCTTTCTTGTCTTTACATTAATCACCATTTTAAAGTCTGGGAGACTGTAGTTAGGTTTTCTAAAATAAACAATAAACAAACATAAACCCTCCCAGCCCCTTGCCCTCCCTAGTATAAGTATTAAGAGATTTTAAGAATGGTTCCTGGTGCCTCAGCAGTATTTTTCAGTTATTTTTTATTTTTGCAAGGTTTTTGGTATGATTCAAACTCAAAAAATTTCTGATGGTAGTCTATAGGCTACTCATTAAACTGGTATTTCAGCTGCCAGCTCAAAGTATTGAAAATCATGATTCAACATTCCCAAAATAAAATAACAGTTCAATCTTTAAACCTTCAGGGTGTGCTTGAATTATGTTTACAGATTACTTTTTCACCCATGAGGTCTAACAAACTTCTTCATGAATGTTTTCAAGTATTTTAAAATTTTTGTCCTCATGAAAATCTCCCAGAATTTGATGCTTAGAACACAACTTATGGAAAAAAAAAGAAATGAAAAAGACATGAAGGTCTGCCAAGTCCTGTTATAAATATACAAATGTGTTGTAGTTTTATAGGCATTTATCTCACAGAATAGTAAAAAGTGTGTAATTAACTGTAACAAAGGAGGTGAATATGCTGAATATGGACTTCAGTATTTTTTTTACAAGAACTACTAGAGAGATAAGGTATCTATTAAAGGAAATCAGAATGATAGAGTATCTCATTTTGGAAGGACATGTAAGGATTGAGTCCAACTCCCTGCTCCTCACAGGACTTTCTAACACTAAGCCATATGACCAAGAGCTTCATCCAGATACTCCTTGAGCTTGGATTCCTTGAACTCAGACAGGCTTGGTGCTGTGATCACTTGCCTGGAGAGACATTCCAGTGAGGAACCTTTTCCTCATGGCCAGTCTGAACTTCCCTTAGCACAACTTCATTTCATTCCCTTGTGTCCTATTACTGTAAATGTAACTGCTGAAATGTAGAGCATACTTCAAGGTTGCAGGCACAAATGTTATACTTTCAACATATGAGTGCCACAGAAATGCACATGGGATTAACAGTGGTGAAATAATTAACTGTCCTTTTTTTCTGATTTATTCAGAACTTTTTTTCTGCTCTGCTGGAATTCCTTAGAGAGTAGCTGTTCTGCAGAAAACTAACTTAAGATTCTAAATCTTTAAAAATGTTATTTTAAGGGAGGCATAAAGAGTTGTCCTTCATAGCTACATGGGATGACAGCATAGTATAAGGAATTCTTCTTGATCCTGCAGAAGGAAATGGGTGAAAGAGAAAGCAGTACATTTCAACACATATGTAAGCTCTGGAGAAGGCCAGGGATATTCATCCTTAATCCCACTGGTTGATGTGCTATGTCTTTGATTTTCACAGGAGCACAGCAAGATTGGAAAGCACATTTTGTTTTCCCTGAGTCACACAATTTCTTTAGCAGCACTTCGAGTATGTTATCCACAGTCAGTGCTGATCTGTGTTTTCTTCGTGGGATTTGTAGCAAAGAAAAAATTGATTTTGGAGTGAATTTGGAGGAATGGAGTGAAATCTCCTCACAGGTGTGAATCTCCTTAGAAGCTAAGATGCATGTTGTCTAGATTTTGTTGGGGTTTTTTAATTGCTTAGATTTGTTAATGGCATGCACAAAATTGCTATTGCAGATTTTGCCTGACTCCATTGCATGTGTGTCACTACAGCATGTCCTGGCTTTAGCTGGCAGGTACAAGACAGGTGTACTGCAACCCTATTGTTGGTCTGTCACCAGCAACTTGTTTGTTCAATATGTTTTTTGTGGTGGATTGACTGTGGCTGAATGCCAGGTACCCACTACAGCTGCTCTGTCACTCCTCTCCACAACTGGGTGGGGGAGAGAAAATATAACAGAAGGTTCATGCATTGAGATAAGGACAGGGAGAGACATCACTCACCAATTCCTGTCACAGGCAGAACAGACTTGACTTGGGGATATTAGCTGAATTTATTACCCATCAGAATCAGAGCAGGATAATGAGAAGCAAAACAAATCTTTAAAATCTCCCCACTCCTCTCTCTCCTTCCTGGCTTTATCTGCTCCCCAAAAGGGTGCAGAGAGACAGGGAATGGGGTCTGTTCATCACAGAATACAGTCTGTTCATCACAGGTTGTTCCTGCCACTGTTCAGGGAGAGGAGTCCTTCCCCTGCTCACTGTGGGGTTGCTCCCACGGGAGACAGTTCTCCACAAACTCCTCCAGCCTGAGTGCTTCCCATGGGAGATACAGTTCTTCACAAACTGCTCCAACATGGGTCACTTTTCCAGGGGGCACAGTCCTTCAAGAACAGCCTGCTCCAGTGTGGGTCCCCCACAGCATCACCAGTCCTTCCAGGAAACCTGCTTCAGTGTGGGCTCCTCTCTCCATGGGTCTGCAGATCCCTGCCAGGAGCCTGTTACAGCATAGGCCTCCCATGGGCTCACAGCTTCTCTCAGGCATCCACCTCTCCAGTCTGGGTCTCCTCCATGGGCTGCCGGGGGTTCTCTGCATGGGCTGCTCCATGGACCTCCCATGGACCTCCACAGCTGTCTCACCATGGTCTGCAGGGGAATCTCAGCCCTGGCATAAAGCAGCTCCTGCCCCTCCTTCTCCACTGACCTTGGTGTCTGCAGAATTGTTGTTCTCACATTCCTCTCACCCTTCTCTTCTCTGAGCACAACTAAATCTGAACAATAGCTTTTTTTTTATTTGAATCTGTTATCACAGGGGAATTATCACCATTTCTGATTGGCTCAGCCTTGGCCAGCAGCAGTTCTGGGGCCAGCGGGCATTGGCTCTGTCAGACCTGGGGGAAGCTTCTGGCAGCTTCTCACAGAAGCCACTCCTGTAGCTCTCCACTACCAAAACCTGTCCATGCAAACCCAGTTTGAATACTATCATTTGCTGTGATGCATAATTATGTTTGGTTCCCCTGTCACTATTATGCTAATTGTTTCCCAGACAAGGTTCTGCTCCCAAATAACTTTTATTCTTTCCTCCAGAAAACTGACAGACCAGGCTTTAGCCTTGGCTGTCAAAAACATGTCTATATTTCCAGAGAACTTGCTGTATTTTCTGAAGTTTGTTCTGCTCAGTGCTATTCAGAGCCTTCAGAACTTAAGAACTTAATTTTTATTTTTTGCTGCTCACGCTCTGTCCAAAAAGCCAGAGTCCAGTTTTGATAGCTGTCCAGTATTAAATGATTTATTTGGTTAGCAGACAGAATCATTAGGTTTCACCTCAAACTCTCCAAACAACATGAGCAAGCTAGAAGAACAAATCAGTTTCCTGAGCTGCACTGCAAGTCACTTATCAGTGTCCACCATTACCTGGTTTTATTCCATCACACAGTAATTGGTTTGCAGCCCTCACAGCAACATCCCGTCAGCCATTCTTGCCTAAAGCTGATTTGAGCCTGGCTCTACTTCCTCTCTTATACATACACTGAGACATTTCAGAAGCAACTGCAAATTTTCCAGCAGAACCTCAAGCCATCTTGTAGCTTTCCTGCCATCCCCTTCTTAGAAAAATGTTCACAGAGGAGCTTTAGAAAAAAGTACTTAGAGTAATGAATATCTGTATCTTACTTGCTTTAGCAACATATAGGGCAATGCTATTTTTAAATTTACTTATGTTACATTAAAAGCTTTTAGTTTAGACTGGGTTTTAAATTTTCTAAGTTGTAATGATGCAGCATGTGCGGGTCTTTCCCAGTGGAAACAGAATGACAGTGCTTCTAGCAGGAAACAAATTGCCTTCCCTTCAGCTCATAATATGGTTCTAGCTTGTCCAGTAGAAATGAGAAAGGAAAGGAATTTCCAGGGCTCAAAAGTCCTTAGAAGGCACATCATAATTCCACAAACTTGATTTGAGAAATTTCAAATGTTTAAAAATGTTTTTCATTTTAGGGCCAAATTTCCTCACGTTTTCTGACCAAGTTGACATTGACATTATCCATTACGTATATTGTAAGGCTACAAGGTGAATCTTGGTTTAGAACAAAGAACTGGGATGTGTGCTATGGCTAAAAGCGTGGCTAAATGCAGAATATTTAGCTAGATAACATAATAATTTAATCTTCTACCTCCACGTGTGTGGAACATGCTTTATAGAGAAAATTCTGAAAATATGTTGTATTTATTTTCTGGTTTAGGGAGAATTTATATGCATTGTCTTTCTCTCCCATCACTGTTGCCCCTTGCTGTGGCCTTCTAAAATTCCAAGATGAGAAAATGGGAAACCAAACCTTAAGTGAGGTGATGACATGAAAATTGTAGTAGGACAAATGAACTGTATAAAGAGTTAAAAATAATTCAAGCAACTTGATTGGGTGACAAGAAACATGAATTCTTTAGAAACTGACAGCTTCATAAGAATAATGTCATGCTGCTTTTTTTACCCTATTTTCATTATAGTAGTAATTACTATCTCAATACCAGTCATTTCATGGGGATTAATGACCAGCTGAGGATAATGACCCTCAGCTTTATGTTGAATAATCAACTTGTGCCCATTTATCACTAATCTCCTGAAATTACTCAGCACTCCAATTGTATTACTTATTTGTAAAGAAATTTGGTAAACATGCATAAAAAGACCCTGTAATGTTTCCAAATTATTCTGCTCACATCCATTGTGCCACTCTCTCTTTTCCACCTTCTGATTTAAAATTATTCTGCACAAGAGGCAAGCTCCTTGTTTATGAGGCTATTTATGAATAAGGTAGTGAATACCAGTTTCAAAATTTCATGCTGCTTTTTTATATTAAAGTACACATGTAATACCCAAATTCATGCAGAAATCTATTTTTTAATAAATTGCTTGAAGAGACCTAATCCAAGCAGAAACTCAGTTATAAGAAAAAATGCAGTGGTCAGAGACAGGAGATGTGTTCAGCTGAGTGCTGTAGCTCTGTTGTGGTTTCACTCCCATGGGCAGCCTCAGCACCACACAACCACTCGTGCACTCCCCTGCAGTAGGACAGGTGAGAGAACTGGAAGAATAAAAGTGAAAAAGCTCTTGCCTTGAGATAAAGATAGTTTACTAGGTAAAGCAGAATCTGCACCTGGAAGCAATACAAAAGAAAGAATTCATTCTCTGCTTCCCAACAGCAGGCAGGTTTAGCCATTTCCAGGAAAGCAAGACTCCATCACGTCTCACAATTACTTGGGAAGACAAGTGCCATAAATCCAAATATACCACCCTGCCCTTCCTTCCTCTTTCCTCCAGCTTTTATTGCAGAACATGATGCCACATGATGTGGGGAACATCCCTTTGGTCAGTTAGGGTTAAAGGGAACATCCCTTTGGTCACTTAGGGTCAGCTGTCCTGGCTGTGTCCCTTCCCAGCTTCTTGTGCACTCCCAGCCTAAGGAGGTGGGGTGGTGAGAGATGCAAAAGTGGCCCTGGTGCTGTGTAAGTGTTGTTCAGCAATAACTAACACACTGGTATGTTGTCAAGGCCGTTTTCAGCACAAATCCGAAACATAGCAGCATGCAAATTACTGTGAAGAAATTTAACTCTAACCCAGCCAAAAGCATTCAAGCTCAAATGACCATGTCTGTTTGTGAGGAATGCTTCAACATTTGTTTTGCAGGAAGAAAAATGGTTGCAGTGCAAGTAAGACTAGAAGGAAACAGGCTTGTCACAAAATTTCTTAATTTTTTTCAGTGAAATTTATTCCATTGTTATTAAAATTTTAGAACTAGAGAAGCAACTAATTTTGTCGTTAGAAAGAGCTATTTTATGAAGAGCATGTCAAGTCTGGCTCTAATGATAGCTATACATTTTTAACTACTCAAAGAATATCTCAAGGTATTATCCCCAGAAGGATTATATAGCTCAGGAATGACAGCAAATTTCGAACTGTGACTGTTTGAGGCAGCTCTCATTTGTATTTGGTTTCTGGTCCATAATTTGAAAATAGAAATGCATTAGTGGAGCTTTTGCTGCCTGCAAATTTTTACTGTGTTAATTAAGTATTCTTCAACATAACATACCACTTTAATTCTGTTAGATGGCTAAAGGATTCCATTTGTACTTCGTTTAGTTAATGTTTTGTTAATGTTCTAGAACATACCGAGCTAGGGAATAGATGACAGTACACAGCTCCAACACTCCTGGAATCTAAAGCAGATTTTTGACTTCGTGATACCTAGGTGATTTAAGACATTCTGCTCCTTTTTATTCTCGCCTGGAACCATTTTCACTAATGCTGCCAGGTATCTGTTAATTGTTTTCTTCTTCCAAATGGTTCTGCGTGTAGGTTCCTAGCTCTCACACATACAAGAGATTGTTTTGGCCAGCAAGTCATACCAGCATTCTGCTGAATTGTCCTTCTCTCCAAGGAGGTAAAAAAGTTTGCCAAAGCACAGAAGTACTTTATTATTATTATTATTATTATTATTATTATTATTATTATTATTATATTACTATCATCATCACTACTAAGCATTCGTGGCTGCAAGAGTTTCATTTAGCCCCCTGCAGTTCTGATGGCTGCCAGCTGAGGGTCTGTGTGGCGCTGGAAGTTTCCAGTCCCATTTCCACAGACCAGCATTCACTTCACCTTTTGAGTCAGTTGTCCTTCCACTAAGAGGCAGTATTGGCCTATCTTTCCTAAGCCACACATCCTACAGAAATTAAAAGCAACATGAAAACCAGGTGTAGCAATTGATCCTAGCTTTAATTTCATCCATCTCCTGGGGTTAGACAGCAACTAATATCTGTCACACTGATGAATACAGAGAGTTCCAATGGCAAAAATTTGGCCATGAGATGGATTAAAAGACACTTGCTGGACAGGGTTCACTGCTGCACATGGTGATTGTCACAGTATGCCTTTTCACACTTGCTGGAGAGATAATTTTAACCAAATTGTTCCAGCTGCACAGATATAGGCTGCATTCAGAAGATATATGTCCAGACTTCATAGTAATGGTAGAAATTTACAGAAATGATGACTTATAAACTAGGAAAAATGTATGCTTTGGATTCTAGGGTATTACAGCTCTTCATGTCAAAATCAAATGATCAGGTGTGAAAAATGTATTGCTAACTCTATTTTTAGAGAATTGCAGAAACGTTCTGGTTATTTCATGGGTAACCAGTAAGCTAATAACAAAGAGTATTTGAATTTTTTTTTCCTGGTATTACAGTGCCGTAACAAGACATTTTTCTCACATTGGTTAGTAAGTCAGTCTTTTAATTTTTTTTAAAATTTATTTGAGGCTTGTTTTTCCTGTGAGTCAGAATGATAAGGATTGTGGAAGAAACTGTTTATTGCTTTTTAGCAACTAGTCAGCATCAAGACTGCTAGACTTGGCTCATATTCACAGTGCTAGGTATAAAAGATGGATAACCTGGCTGTTATTCATGACATTGTGTGGTGTAGAACAGAGAAGTGATCCATCTGGTGCAAGTACCAGAATAATCTGATCACGTGGTAGGACTGTCATTGATGCAAAACCTCTTCCCTCACTCAAGCTGAGGATTATCTTTAGCAATAAGGTCTGTGGAAAGGTGCATTTCACCTCTTGTTGGAAAAAATGAAAGAGCATCTGGCTTGAATTTAGGCTGACTGGGAGGTACCAAGTCATTGATACTGTTAGTGATGGATAGACAAAATTAAGTGGTCTCCTGGCACTAGGAATGCCTGAAGTCCACAGTGCCTGTAGAAAAAGTGCATGTTTATGAAGCTGTCTGTCAGCATTTGGACTGTGGGAATGACTGTTTTCAACAGCAGGCAGATGGCTCTGGTCCCTTGAAGAGATCACATGCCCAGAGTGCTCAGACATTCTTCTATGAGCTCTCCACCTTTGAGTGGAAGCATCTGTCATCACAGACTCGTTTG